GATTTATACAGGGTGCATTAAAATAGTTCACAGTTCTAAAATGTCCACTAAACTGAAAGTTCTGCAAAATTTGTGAAAACGAATATTTTGGAGCGGAGCGAATTTTTCTTTTGTCTTTATCAATTAATTCCAGATGGTTCCAGTTGAAAGACCAAAGACAAATGAAAAATTCGCTTCGCGCGAAAAAATTCGCAAATGTAAAACCGGCATTACATAATAATGTCACAAATTCTGCTAAAAACCTTCGTTTGACCAAATCAACTTACTACATTTAGATTTCTTGCCATCCCAGAGTCCTTTTGCGCGACACCTCCGAGTACTGGGACCAAATAATGTGTACTTTGGGTTACACTCAAACGTCATGGTCGAATTAAATGTCCTAGCTTTACCCGTTATTCTCCCATTTCGTAGTTTCCTCAGGGGAGAACATTGCATACCTATATAAAATATTAAAAATTCTTTCGAGTCCTTGTTATTATTATTAATACTTTATTTACCCACGCTAACCCCTTCAGCTAAATGCTGATTTCCAAGGGGGCGTTTAGACATAAATATCAAACTCATTAATAATTCATGATAAATTAGCCAACCATATTCGTATATCATTACCATTATATGACCCACCTTTCTTGACACAGCTATATCCGCAGTTTCCATCACAGAGACATTCTTTCTTGGAATCGCTGCAACCTAATGACGGCTGACATTCATCAACACATTCAATTCCAGCCTTCTTAATGTTGGTTCTCGGACAAACATTGCCTACAGAATTGTCACAACTTATGTTTTATGGTAGGTACCATACCAGGGGTTATCCTAAGGGCTCCCATTTTCCAAAATGGGTAGTTCTAAATGTAAAATGGCTGGTTCTAAAACTTGAAATGGGCGGTTCTAAAATTGAGTTTTCCAGTAAAAATTAGTTCTAAATGAAACGCTCATACAGATATTTAAGGCAAAAACAAAACCCAAATGTCACTCTGAAAATGCAGGAAATGGCCATTCTGGAATTCTAAAATTAAAACGTTTCCGGGAGAGCATGCCCGAGAACCCTGCCAGCCATTCAGGTATCCAATACGCCATGACCTTGTCTCTCGTTACTGCCACACAGCCTGTGTTCACTACATCACAGTTTGTTCTAGTCGAAATAGCAGTTAGGATGATCCCTGTACCATACCTAAGGCTTATTCATATGAGCCACGAGCATGGTTTGCCGCTCTCCTGTGGAATGTGTGGGACGAATCATTTCTATGTTCATGCGACTGTTTGTATCCCACTACCTAATATGCCGCCTCGTTGGGGCGATATTGTGTAAACATGGCGTCTTTCGAAATAGTTTTTGTTGTACTTAAACTAGCTGCATCTTGTATTACTGTTTAAATACTGTCTGCTTAGATCTATTATTGTTTATTTTTTGTTTTTGTATAGTATTGAACTATATTGCAAGTCAAAATCGTCAAAAAATGTCCACCCCGATCAGGTGCAATATCCTTCTGATCAGGTGCAATATCCTTCATAATATGAAAAATTTTATCCCACTTGACTTAGGCTACGTTTACACTTGTACCGGATACCTAAATAGCTTTCCGTAGCGACATGAAACAACACCTATCTGGACCTTTTAGGAACGCTATTTTCAGGCCAATATTGAGGAATTATTGCAACGGAGAGATGTTGTTTCGCTCAGCTTCTGAAAATTGTACATTCCGTATATGGGATTGGTGCTTTTCGCGCCGCTACGGAAAGCTATTTTCCACTCCGGAAAATAAGCAGTGAATTGGACCGGATCAAAGGTTTTTCCGATATAACAAACCAACAAGTTGATTGGTCAAATTTGACGTATTAATTAGCTGTTATAATCACCTGATTATTCAGCACATATCAAAATGGCGGCTAGCCGGCGCCATTTTGTGAAGCTACTGATAAAGAAATAAGCGAAATTAAAATAAATTCAGTCCCAAAAAAACACAAAAGACTTGTGTAAAAGTAAAACGATTATTCGTCTCATATTCCCGATAATCACCTCGCCTTCGGCCAATAATTGTTAAATATTTTATAAAACTCATTAATAAGTCGCGGGGGAAAATACAAAGGAAATACCGTGTCGGTGGTTTTATATGTGATAAATAATCATGTTTATTATATTTACATAAAGGCCTATTCCGATGTTTACGCCTGCATACCTGGCGAATTTCCCGTGCCTTGCCTCCCTATTTTTTCTGCCCGCGCCTCAATTGCTTGCAACGCAGACTAGCAATGCTTCGGCCTGCCTTAGTCTTTTTAGACGTCCAATTTGCGTTGAATTTAGTTCATTTATGCGACGATAGCCGTCACTGTAGTTAGCCGTCAACTGTGTCGCACATAACGTACTGCTGTGCCGGACAGCAGTCAAATATGGAAACAACCAAAACGACACGTCCTCGCTTGCCCAAGCCTCAGACTAACCTGTGCAGACTGGTGGCGACGCAGACCATTGGCCGTCGCTCTGACATTTGATATTCAAGGAATCTGTAGTTCTATAACCAGGCATACATTCATAGCGCAATATCGTCCGCTCGGAGAATCCTATTGTAGTAAACTTCCGGTAACGGTTCGTATTGTTTGATATACTAGGATCAGGACAGGATATTTCTAGGAACATTTAAAGAATTAGTAACAAATAGTTTGTAACAGACTAACAAACGTTTCCCAGCAGAGCTAATTCTCGTCCCAGAGCATCCCCTCTGATTACATGTGGATGACCAAGGCTGGGGTCTTCTTTGGGGTATTCCCTCGGTTTCAATAATGTGTTAATCTCACTTTTTTGTTTTATTTAGTACACGCTCAAAAATCTCGCAATTTGTCAATATGTGTGTTCGCAATGCTTGTTCGCAGTTGTTGACAAGTCTGGAACAAGTTGTTATCATCTTGTCATAAAGTTGATCAGGTCAAAAGACTCCCAACCATCCTCGTCCTCAGGGCCTCTCGCGTCCTTCCTAAGTCCAGGGACACACGGAACCGGAAGTGCAAGAAAACTTGCAGAAGTTACCAAAGCGCATGTTCTTCAATTTAGCACCCGTAACAATTTTCACAGTGAAGTATTACGAAGAAGCAAAGTATTTGTGTTGACATATGTTGATAGAATAATTTTGCCATCAACTTCTGCGAAATAGCAGTTCTCTGAGAAGCCAATTCGTCTAACCCAGAGCCTAATTTTCAACGAGTGACCGAGTGAAAATGGCTCTGGGGACGAGAATGATTCGCAATAAATTGTTCCAACAATCATCTGCACGTAACAAATTGTTGAGAAGTTGAGGACAACAAGCTCGCAGCAACTTGTGACGCAAACAGGCTGTGTTATTCTTGTTGAAACAACTCGTCTGTTCCCATCATCAACTTTGTAAAAGGTTGATAACAACTTGTTGCAGACTTTGTTGAAACATCTGGGAACAATTAGCAGAGCAAACACATCCTGATATTCACTTGACAACAACCCTGCTACAACTTGTTTGTAGATCTATAACAACGTGTAGTCCGAAAATTGTTCGGTGATTTGAAAATATCGTTGATTTTGTTGTAGTTCATTTATAAAACCAGGTAAACCGAAAAGATTTATACAAGGTGCATTAAAATAGTACACGGTTCTAAAATGTCCACTAAAATGAAAGTTCTGCAAAATTTGCGAAAAGGAATATTTTGGAGCGGAGCGAATATTTCTTTTGTCTTTATCAATTAATTCCAGATGGTTCCAGTTGAGAGAGCAAAGACAAATGAAAAATTCGCTTCGCGCGAAAAAATTCGCAAGTGGAAAACCGGCATTACATAATAATGTCACAAATTCTGCTAAAAACCTTCGTTTGACCAAATCAACTTACTACATCTAGATTTCTTGCCATCCCAGAGTCCTTTCGCGCGACACCTCCGAGTACTGGGACCAAATAATGTGTACTTAGGATTACACTCAAACGTCATGGTCGAATTAAATGTCCTAGATTTGCCCGTTATTCTTCCATTTCGTAGATTCTTCAGGGGAGAACACTGCATACCTATATAAAATATTAAAAATTCTTTCCAGTCCTTGTTATTATTAATACTTTATTTACCCACGCTAACCCCTTCAGCTAAATGCTGATTTCCAAGGGGGCGTTTAGACATTAATATAAATCTCATTAATAATTCATGATAAATTAGCCAACTATATTCGTATATCATTACCATTTTATGACCCACCTTTCTTGACACAGCTATATCCGCAGTTTCCATCACAGAGACATTCTTTCTTGGAATCGCTGCAACCTAATGACGGCTGACATTCATCAACACATTCAATTCCAGCCTTCTTAATGTTGGTTTGCGGACAAACATTGCCTACAGAATTGTCACAACTTATGTTTTATGGAAGCTACCATACCAGGGGTTATCCTAATTAAGGGCTCCCATTTTCCAAAATGGGTAGTTCTAAATGTAAAATGGCTGGTTCTAAAACTTAAAATGGGCGGTTCTAAAATTGAGTTTTCCAGTAAAAATTAGTTCTAAATCAAACGCTCATACAGATATTTAAGGCAAAAACAAAACCCAAATGTCACTCTGAAAATGCAGGAAATGGCCAGTCTGGACTTCTAAAATTCAAACTTTTCCGGGAGTGCATGCCTGAGAACCCTGCCAGCTATTCAGGTATCCAATACGCCATGACCTTGTCTCTCGTTACTGCCACACAGCCTGTGTTCACTACCTCACAGTTTGTTCTAGTCGAAATAGCAGTTAGAATTATCCCTGTACCATACCTAAGGCTTATTCATATGAGCCACGAGCATGTTTTGCCGCTCTCCTGTGGAATGTGTGGGACGAATCACTTCTATGTTCATGCGACTGTTTGTATCCCACTATCAAATATGCCGCCTCGTTGGGGCGATATTGTGTAAACATGGCGTCTTTCGAAATATTTTTTGTTGTACTTAACTAGTTGCACCTTTTATTACTGTTTAAATACTGTCTGCTTGATATATTATTGTTTATTTTTTCGTTTATGTATAGTATTGAAGTATGCTGTTCAATACTACATGTTACAAGTCAAAATCGGCAAAAAATGTCCACCCCGATCAGGTGCAATATCCTTCATAATATGAAAAATTTTATCTTTAGGAACGCTATTTTCAGGCCAATATTGAGGAATTATTGCAACGGGGAGATGTTGTATCGCTCAGCTTCAGAAAATTGTACATTCCGTATATCGGATTGGTGCTTTCTCGCGCCGCTACGGAAAGTTATCCGGTATAGGGTTAAGGTTAATTTACACACCGATCCAACAAGCGATTTCCAGTAAAAGAACAAGTGGAATGATCGGATCAGCAAAGAGAAAAATGGAGCTCGTCAGCATTTATTGTACTTCAATGCTTATTTGCATACCATGCACGCGTTCAAATATGGCTTCCATTGTAAACAGTCAATTGCTTAAGGCGATGTTGTAAATCGCAAAATTTGAGGATAAGATAGGTCGTTTGCAATTTGCCAAAGCCGCTGGTTGTAAAAAAAATCTCTCGACATATTTAGTGTAATATATTGGTCTCGGTTATGTATCTATCCATGCACCCTGCATTTTAGTTTCTTCCTTGTGCTGTATTTTTGTATAGCTAAAGTTAAATAGACAAATACTAGTTCTTAACTTACCTCTTTGCAAGCAGGACAGGCAGTACAGTAACTTAAATCAAGCCAATATTACACAAAATATTTCGAGAAACTGTTAGTTTTAAAACCAACGATTTTGGCAAGTTGCAAACTGCCAACTTTATTTTTAAAATTTACGATCTACAACCAGCCATGTTGAATTTACTGTAATACTGTTTACAATTGCCTGAGCCATACTTTAATGTGATAAATGCAAATTAAGTCGGGTAATCAGTCAGCATATAATGCAAATGTCAAGTTTTTGGGCATCTCTCTTGAAAGAACTAATTGTTGAATGGATTTGTAGATGGAAAGTTCCAGTGTGATTTATTGATTGTGATTATTATAATATCACTTTCCTTCCAAATTGTAGTATTTTTTAAATATTAATATACAAAAAATATTACTCGACCGTGATTGGTTGATTTCAGTGCAGTTAATCCCAAAAAGCAGTGCAATTTTTTGAAATCACAGTGCAATTTTCTGTAATCACAGTGCAATTTTATGTAATCACAGTGCAATTTTCTGTAATCACAGTGCAAAAAGCTGTAACAAACTGTTCTGATTGGTGCGAAAACAATGTGATGATAAAATCAACCAAGCAGTTTAGTGTAAAGAAGTAACAGTCACAGATTGCTTCAAAACAAAACAAATATGGCGCCGCACTAGGCTACATAAAGTAAAAGTTGACTTCGGTTGGAAAATATGGCTTTTTAACCTTTTTTTTTAAATGGAAAAGCCTTCACTTAGACAAGACTAACAAAACTTATTATAAATAGTTGAGTGGACCGGAATTTTCAAGCGGTTAGCGTTGTATAATGTGATATAACAAAGCCAGGAAAACTTTGCCAGTGGCAATGGACGGTTCGCAATAAACATAAGTTAATAAAACTACAATCATCTCGAGAATTTTATGTAAATTATTAATAAGTAATAGCATAGTTGCTCGTGAAATTTGGATAAACATGGACTCGTGAGTTTTTCAAAGACCTGAAATAACACTCGTCGCTCGGACTCGTGCTATTTTGAGCTCTTTGAAAAACTCACTCGTGCATAATGTAGCTATCCAAATTGCACTCGAAACCATGCTATTACCTATACGAATTAAAGTTACACATCTCTAACAAAAAAATAATTGAATTTTGCGATCGGACAACGTCATTACCCTTTACCCACAAACTGGTTTTCATACATTGAACTATTTATTCTTAACCAATACTTGATGACTATTAAAAGGAGTAAGGTGGAAATCTGGATAATCATTGGGTATCGATCTTCCTATAGTAATTCAGCAATTGCTGCTAAATTGGTAGATTTGGAATGGACTCCCAGAATACGTTTACAAAACTTTATATGACCGAGCTGACTTCGATAATAAAACCAAATCATCAGCATAAAGTAAACAATTTACCTTAATAGTACATATCACAATTTGAAGTATTTAGCAATTTAGGAACATCATTGATAAAGACATTAAATAAAGATGGACTCGTGTTACAACCCTGTTTTAAACCAATATTTAACGAAAATACTGGAGTACTTCCCCCAAACAGTTTGACTTTATATTTAACTGAGGAGTACACACTTAGCCTAATAACATGCGTACAAAATTCTTACTACAAAACCGCTGATACATATTCCACTGTAGTTTCCAGGATCAGAAGGACAACCTGATTTATAAAAAGGTACAATATACCCTTCCGACCACATATGAAGAAAAGTTTCATGAAATAGAACATGGTTAAAAGGTTTAACAAGGTAAAGAGCACATGTACTTCGGATCCACAGCAATCTTAATAATTTCATTGCTTATATTACGTCTCCAGCACTACTCTTTTATTCTGAAGTTTCTTTGCTGATGCGCAAACTTCATGTACTGAAATCGGTACATCTAAGATATTACCAGATTTAACTGCCCACGATAATCTCTGACAAATTGAGTCCGTTTGTAGAATTGTCGGAAGTTACTTTTTTCCCATTAGTTCTTAAAATAATCGTGCCATACTAAAGGTGAAATCTCATGGGGGCCCCTCTCATCTTCTATATCATGGAATTGTTTGATTTTATTAGAATTTCCAAAACTCTTTTGCATTATATTTTTCCATAGATTGAATTTTACTTAACATTTTATATTTAAAATTTCTTTTTAATCGTTTGACGAGTCCTTTGTATTCTTTCTTTGTACTGAAACATTTATATTGTAAAAAATCAGGGAATCTTAAAAACAAACTACCCAAGTTTCGTAGTTCATTTTTTAACAAGTGTCAAATCTTGTCAAACCATTTTTTTCTTTTGTATTGTATACTTCTTTGTTTCCAATTAGAAAATCGCCTATTCTTAATTTTTATGACCTTTGTCGAAAATTTAACAATAATATTTGTAAACTCATTCACTAATGAATCCACATCCTGATCTTGTGGAAATTGAAACAAAGTATTCATTTCATTCAAAATGCAAGTATTATTAAAATTTTCCCTAAAAGTAGTTTTTAAAGCATCATTCCACATAAAAAAACATGTGAAGTGGTGACAATTGTAAAGTTTTCTCTGTCCCTAGAGGTAAATAAGGTTCAGTTTCTAAACTGAAGGGGGGAAAATGATGGGAAAATTGTGTGATTTCAAATATATGTAAAGTAAAATATTTCATTTCCCTCATGACCTCTGATGCTTAAGGATGCCAACAAAAAGAATAAAGTCTAATAAAGTTTAAAATATTAGTTAAATCTGATCAGTTGATTATTATCTTCTTTTCTTTCACAAAACAAAAACAAATTAAAATAACCTTTCAAACTTTTTTGAAAATCTAACTTTTTAAACTTTTTTTTCTTTTTAAAACTTTTTTAAAACCTATTTTTTTGAAAATCTTGAAAATCTCCTCACCCCTTTTAGTGCCATTATTACATTTGTAACAAGAAGTCTTGTCTAATGCTTGTGGTTTTATGATTAATTCTATTGATAAATTCGAAATGTGCCGCGAATTTATCATAATGATAATTTCGGACGTGTTAAAGAATTTACTCATATAGTAAATTCAAATGTGGAGCTCATGTTGCATATTAATTCAAATTTCTATAATAATATTACATACACTTTCTGCCTCGATTAGCTTTTGCTACCTGCAGAATTGTATAAATTTGTAAATATTCTTTATATTACTAATAAATTATCGTCGTCGTCATCGTTGTTATACCTCAGAAGTGATTCAATGAAATTGAATGAAATTTGGTAGAGTTAGTAAGTGCACCCATAGCCTATCGAAGGGAAGATGGCTGTGAAACTCATTATCTATGTTAGTCAACGTTTATTCATAAATCTGGTCCTTTCACCATCACTTGTGTATTGTATTTTTACCAAATCCACTAATAGCAATTTGCAGTTTCCCTATATTGTCTGAGTCACGGATAAGTGACTTTCCTAAAACATTGCTATTGGTTAGTTGGGCAAAAATACAATACACACGTGACGGTGAAGGACCAGATTTATGAATAAACGTTTACCAACATAGATAATGAGTTATATTGTTATGCTAATGAGTTTCACAGCCATCTTCCCGTCGATAGGCTATGGTGCACCTAAACAAGCATTTTGGGTCGTTTATGTGGTTGTCATAGCAACACCCTAGTTACCAGGTCTCTCTGTCTTATTTGTCCAATTCTTTGCTTCCAACAAAAAAGAAAGGAATATTTGTGATTTTCATTTATTATTATCGTTTTTGTGGCTACCGCATAGCGATAGCCATATAGTCAGCGAGTGCTTGAATGCTTGAGGGGTTTGGATTGCATTTACGTCACGGTCGGGAACCGTCGACCGATATCGACAAGCGCTCGCGAGCATCTGTCATAGTTAATAATAATACTGTGTTTATATTTATGCAACTGGTTCCTTTTTGTGTTTTCCAAATTGTTTCTGACGAGGTTTCTGGTATTATCGCAATATATAGAAGGTAAGAAGTAGTTATTATTTAAAAGTTGAAATTTTTCACGTAAATACTGTCAACTTAGTTACTATTTTCAAAATGAAATGCGACAAGCCAATATTCGGTATAAAATAATATAAATGTGGCAAGCTCAATATTCGGTATAAAATAATATATTTGAACGATACAAAACATGTAAGGAGTTGACAAAACGATAAATTCTAACAACAATGGCGGTTTTCTGTGTTGGTGTTGTGTACTCAGGTGAATATGATGTTTGTGATGTTACTCTGAGTGTATATCCACACCGGGCGAGCTTGAAAAATATGCCCGGCCACGGTTCGATTTCCACCGTGGCCGGGCAT